TGGAATTTTATTAATTTGCCAAACATTGAAATCAAATGAATCCAAAGTAAACAGAAAAAAAAATAAAAATTAGAGCAGAATTCAAAGAAATTAAAAACAGGAAAACTATAGACAAAATCAATGAAACTGAAAGGTGGTTCTTTGTAATAATTATGAATAGGTAAGGCTCTAGCCAAGATAGCCAAGGAAGGAAAAGAAGACATGAATTTCTAATGTCAGCAACAAAAGCGGTCATCACTACAGATCTCATAAGTATTATAATGATAATTAATATTATGAACAACTCTTATGCCCACTAATTTAACAACCTAGATAAAATTGACCAATACATTAAAAGAACAAAATGCCACAAAAAGACATACACATTCTAAATAGACCTATACATATTTAAAAAATTAAATGGACAATTAATAGCCTTCCAAAACAGAATGCAACAGATGCAGATGGGTTCACTGGTAAATTCCACCAAATATTTAAGGAAGATATGGTATCAATTTTTGTCTACAATGTCCTCCAGTAGACAGAAATAGAGGGAGTATTTCCCAACTCATTCTATGATACCTTCACAAAAAACATTAAAAGAAAGGAAAACTATTAACTAATGTTTCTCACAAATATACATGCAAAAATACTTAACAAAATATCAGCAAATCAAATATAATGTATACAAAGTATTATACACTATAAACAAGTAGAATTTATTCAGATATGACTCATCATTCAAAAAGCAGTTGAAATAATTTATCACATCAATAGTCTAAAGAAGAAAATTCACATGATCATGATAATAAAGATAAAAAAAGATTTGGTGTAATTCTAAACCTATTCATAATAGAAACTCTCAGTAAAATAGGAGAGGGAAAGTTCCTCAACATGAAAAAAATATCTACCAAAAACCTACAGCTGTCATCATATTTAATAAGGAGAAACTAGATTTCCTACTATGATTAGGATAAGGCAAGGATGTCCCCTTTAACCACTCCTTTTTGACATCATATTGGAAGTCCAAATAATGCAAAGTACATGTAAAGGGGAAATAGTGTATACTCATTGGAAAGACAGAAATAAAACTCTTTGTTTGCAGATGGCATGATCATCTATGTAAAGAATCTGGAACCAATAATCAGTTAAATCAAGGTTGCAAGATACAAGATTTGTTTTTGTCAATCATTTTTCCTGTATTCCAACAATGAACAGGTGAAATTTGAAGTTAAAAACATAATTCCACTTAAATAAACTCTTATAAAAATGAAATACTTATGTATGAATCTGGCAAACACATATAAGATATATATGAGAGAAACTACAAAACTAAATAAATGGCAACATATTCCAGGTTCACAGTCAGAAAGATTCAATATTGCCAAAGTGTAAGTTCTTTGCCGCTTGATCTACATATTCAATCCAATCTCAATCAAAATCTTAGCAAGTTATTTTGTGGATAGCACAAATGTATTGTAAAGCTTATGTAGAGACTAAAAGACCAGAACACCAGTATAATATTGAAGGAGGAGAAAAAGTTGGAGGATGAATGCTATCTAATTCAAGATTTAATACAAAGCTAGAGTAATCCAGAAAGTGTGGTTTTGGTGAAAGAATAAGCAAATAGCTCAATGAAACAGAACATCAGGCCCAGAAATGACTCATGAAAATGTTATCAGCTGATCTTTGGCAAAGTAACAGAAGTAATGCAATGGAATAAATACAGTTTTGTTTTGTTTTGTTTTGTGTTTTTTTTTAACAAATGGTACAAATGGAACAACTGGACGTCCATACAAATTAAAAAAAAAGAAGCCAGACCCAGGTCTTACAGCCATCACAGAAATTAACTAGAAACATATCACAAACCAAATTGAAATTGAAAACTATAAAACACTTAGAAAATAACAAAGGAGAAAATCTACATTACCTTGGGTCTGGCAATGACTTTTCAAAAATGACACCAAAGGCACATCGATGAAAACAAGAATTAATAAGCTAGACTTAATTAAATATAAAACGTTTTACTTTAAATGCAAAGAAAATGATAAAGCCAAATAGAGTAACTCATCAAAGATTTTTAGTGCCTTGGCCAGTAGACCCAAACCTGCAGCAAATTAATGAACTGAATCATAATATAAAGTAAGAGTTAAAAATTAGCATTGCATATATAAAGTCAAAATCTTAAAATCGTTGTAAATACTTGTCATAGTCTCTTTCTCAATTTTTATACATCAAAAAAATCTATTTAACTGTAGTTACTTACTTTCATAATTAGTAACATTTTCTGTTTCAATGCCTATGCCATAAATTCATATCATACCTGATAAAAATCTTTCCATAGCTCTCTTTACACAACCATAGCTATAGATCTTCACACTGAATTTTAGTTTTAATCAAACTGAACAAAATCCCTCACATACACATTTCATCTCTCTAGTCAGTGTTTGGAGCCTACATAAGACCTTTCCCCTAGTATATTAATCCTCCTAAAATCCATACTTTCCAATAAAATCTTCTCCTCTCATAACGACTCAAATCCCCCTGCCACCATCTAATATTTTCCCTCAGTCAGAATTCAGCTAGTACTCTTCTGAATTCCCAAAACACTTTAGATCAATATCTGTATACTGCTGTATATTGTTTTATATTATTTGTTATAGTCTTATTCTGTCCTTATTTTCAATTTCCATGCTTTTCAAGAGCAGATGAAGTACATGTTTTTGTGTATATTTATATGCCCTACTTCCAGCATCAGGCTTCACATATATTAGGTGAAAAAAAAAAATGTGTGCATTGCACATAGGATCTGGTATTTGAGTCACTGCCAAAATGGGTTTTCTGTCAAAGTGGCTTAAATGATAAAGCCTCAAATATATTTTCATTTCCTAAGGAGATGGCCCTTTAGGTGAAGAAATGTGTTACTTTCTCACAGAAAAACAATCACTAGTATTCTCAAATACAAATGTACTAGAAACCATCCTATTTATTTTAAACCTAAGTATGAGGTTAGATTACTGTTCTTAGTATGTTTGACCCACAAGTATTCTAATCTAAAGAAATCAACTCTCTACCCTCATTCCTCCTAAGGTTACTTTCTCCTCTGGATACCATGATGCTCTGAAGGCCTTGTTCTATAGGAAGTAACATTTTTATGCCAATTATTAGAAAAGAATGCCAAGTTTAATAAGCAGAGAAAGAGGAGTGTAACAGGAAGAAAGCTAGATTTTCAATCCAAGGTAATGGCTAACCTGTTACACTGTGCTGGGTTGGGTAGGGATTCTGTGTTTTTATGTGTGTGGGGTGGGATTTTGGTTTTTAAAGAAACAGGATCATCCAAAAAACTAAAAAATACATATAAAAATTCATCAGTACAGTCTCCTGCTCAAATTTATTCACATATTAATTGATTTAATAACTTCTCATGGGTAAGAATGTGCATAGCCTACTTGTATTTGCCAAAGTATTAGCCAAAAAGAAAAGGGGGGACACAGTGCTGTTAAGATACAAGCACCATTTATTCCTAATGTCCTTTTCATTGGATAGACCATTTTGTATTCTTCTGACATACTACTGTTTCACTGAGGAACTAAATCAAATAATTAATTATATGTGAGATGAAAGAAAAAGATTTGGAAGTTAAATCAATCAAATAATTCTACAACAATCTATAAAACATTTTGAGAAATTAACATACGGTCTGGAAAAATCACAAGACAGACTAGATTGTATGATCATCCCTTTTATGGACAGAAGAAAATCAATTTTACTTTTTAATACATTAGATGATATTTGTGTACAAGAATATCTCATTGAACTCATGCTTATTTTTGTTTCTTACTTCACTAACTCATATGTTTTAAAAGGTGTTAAGTCTTCTCTTTTATAATTGTCATTAGACTCCTGTTACCTCAGCACTAAAGGAATTGCTCTGTGCTATACATTGAACTATGCTGTCAGGTGATGATAAAAGAACCCCTTGAAAAGAAAAAGGAAAACCAAAGACAGATAAACAATAGGGGTGAGCACAGGAGAAATATAATGGTTTAAGGCCATCATAACTTACTGATTTAGACCTAAATGTCAATAAATGCTCCATGCCCTGGAAAGAGTTCTCAGTCCATTGTTTACAAAGCTATGATGTGCTATTATTTTTTAGAAGATTACAAGATAGCACGTTGTATTTCTCCTGTAAAAGAACTGGTGGAAGAAAAAGGTGGGAGTAGAAAAATAAAGTAGAAGCAGGTTAAAAAAAAGCACAATTAAATATGTTTCCGTCTGAATTTATTTTGCATCTGTTCTGTGCCAGATATTATGTTAATTGCCAACAATAAATAAATAAAAAGCTATCTTATAATCCTTATCCTCCAAAAACAATGTAGTCGAAGAACATGGTAATAATAATGATTTACAATATTAATAATGAAAAGAAGTATTTTATGCAGTAGATCCTAGAGCGAAAGATTGTAGGGATGTCCTTAAAATGCAAAAATTAACACATGACTTTTCTTTCGTTTTTAAACATATCATCACACTTACAAGAATAAAGCTCAGGTTTAACATGTCATAAATTACTAGAATAGACATGGAAGTCAATAAAAGCTGAATGACCTAGATAAAATCTCTCACCTGTGAGGAGAAAGCTGTAGTGCTATTTTTCAGGAGGTGACAAAATGGCACAATATCTTTTAAAGATGAGAAAAAACAAACAAATTTAAACTTTGAGCTTTAGGAAGATTTGAAATTCCTGACATGGGGTGTGCATGTGTGTAAGTATGACCTCACATGACAAAGAATACAGTAGTGGTTCATAGAACAGGCTAAGAAGTTGATTCTGTATTTTTTAGTTTATATCATCCCTTTGCCCAAGAGTTCTGTAAAAAAAAATGTTGAAAATAGACGTTTAGAACCATTTTTATGTACATTTTATTGGGAAAGTTTCAGGCAGAAGGAATTTAACAACTGAGTGCCATGAATCCAGCACCTACCTTAAGTCTTGTTTTATTTATATATTTACTTACTTTTCTTCTCTCAAATTTTACATTGTGGAGAGTCAATGTCCTTATTTTACTTTGTCCATGATTATTTAGGCACACTCAGACAATTTTGGATTCCATAATCTGAAAATTAAATTATTATTTAATTTTAAATATCACAAAATTGATCCAAGTGGTATAAACTAATTCTGTATGTTATACAAATAGTTGAAAGTAGTCAGAATTTGTATCTGACTACAGTGCCCCATCTTTATCATTGTAAAGCTAGGTTTTAAGAAAGTAAAAGAAGACAGAAGTTTTTTATTAGAAGATCAAAAAAATGTCATGTCAATGAAAGTATAAATATTTCATATTCTATTTTCAACCCTCAGTTCTAAAGGATTATTTCAGTTCCAGAGCTCTCCATAAAATAGACTGGGGCCTTTGTTTCAAAGCCCCCAGTCTATAAAATAGAAACAAAGTTTCATTGTTCAATGTCTTTCTTCCTTCAATCCTGCTTCAGAGTTCTAGTTTCTAAAAGCATTCTCTAATAATATTCCTGCATACAAATTTCCACCTCAGAATTTACTTGCTAAGGAACACAACCTGTGACAAAATTGAACTTCAGAAGGATTTCTTGCAATCATTGGAGGCATATAGTCTGTTGAGGGCTATGAATTTGTCCTGTAAAAAATTTGCATGGTGGTTTGATTTTTTTCCCATTATTGATCAGCAGATCAAGTATAAAAGTTGAAGTTAAATCACTGAGTGAAGCTAAAATAGGAATATAAACAGAATCTTAACATGGAAGTAACACAGAGTTTATACTGAATATGTGATAGGAAATAAATGATGATTGTCAAGGTCTGTTCTCTTGTCATGGTGTGGAAGGCATTCTTAAGCATCAGAGTCAACAAAATTAATGTGTATTAAGTTGGCTGCCATTGACACTTCATTCTCACAGGTGTTGGGGCTTGCCAGAATATCATACAAACCTCAGCTAAAGGAAAGCTTCAAAATCATGAACTGCAACTTTAAAAAAAAACTTGTAATTGGAGGACAAAAATTGGAAGGCAATAGACTATGGTTGCATAGAAGTACACTCAACTAGGTGCTGTGAATGTCTGGTGATATTGTGTGTAGGGGAGGTACTAACTGGTGCTTGAGCAGATGTAATTAGTTTCAATTAGATCTATTCATTTCTAACAGGACCATCCATATCATTCCTTTTCACTGTCTCAGAAATGGCACATATCAAGAGATCATAAAGTATCTAGGACAGTTGCAATTCTGGAAGAGAAATAAGTATTAGCAACCAAGTAATACTACAGATGATACTTTGTTGGACAGAGAAATGAAAACAACTCTATGCAGTCCTGCTCCTGTAACAACTAATAAGCAACTGTAATGAAGTTGCAGGATACAGATTAATATAAAAAGCCAACTCCTTTTCCATATATCAGCAATGATGAAGTGAAATTTAAAATAAAAATAAAAACACAATACCATTTATATTAGCAGCCTCAAATATTAAATACTTAGGTATAAACCTAGTAAAATAGGTTTAAGATCTATATAAATAAAAGTACAAAACTCTGATGAAACAAATCAAGGAGTTAAATTAGTGGAGAAATATTCCATGTTTATAGATAGGAAATCTCAACATTGTCAAGATACAAGTTTTTGCAACACAATCCCCAAAATTATTTTGTGGTTACAGGCAAACTGATTCTAAAAATTGCAAGATAAGGTTAAAAAAAAAGGCTAGCAAACACAATATTGAAAGAACAGAACCAAATCAAAGGACTGACACTAATAGACCTCAAGATTTAATGCAAAACTGGCCAGACCTAGTGGCTCATGCCTGTAATCCTGGTCCTCCGGAAGGCCAAGGTCGGGGGATCACCTGAGGTCAGGGTTCTAGATCAGCCCGGAAAACACTGTGAAACTTTTTCTCTACTAAAACTAGAAAAGTTAGCTGGGCATGGTGGTAAATGCCTGTAGTCTCAGCTACTCAGTAGGCTGAAGCAGCAGAATTCCTTAAACCCAGGAGGTGGAGTTTACAGTGAGCCAAGATTGATCACATCACTGTGCTCTAGCCTGGGTGACAGAGCAAGACTCATCTCAAAGACAAACAAACATACAAAAAAAACAACAAACAAAGATTGAATACAAAACTATAGTAATCAAAGCAGTGTGGTATTGGTGAAGAAATAAACAAACAGATCAATGGAACACAATATAGAGCCTAGAAATAGACCCACACAAATATAGTCAACTGATCTTTGAAAAAGGAACCAAGGCAATAATACAATGGAGCAAAGATTGTCTTTTCTAACAAATTGTTCTGGAACTACTGGACATATACCTACAAAAAGAAAGAAAAAAATATTCTAGACACAGAAATTATGTCTTTAACACAAATTAACTCAAAATGATTCATAGATCTAAACATAAAATTCAAAACTATAAAACTTCTAGAAGACAGGATAGGAGAAAATCTAAATGAACATGGGTTTGGTAACAACTGTTTAAATGCAATATCAAAGGCCCAACCTGTGAAAGAAAGAATTGATAAGTTATACTGCTTTAAAATAAAAAACTTATGTTGTGCAAAAGATACTACCAAAAATAAAAAAGTCACAAACAGAAAAAAAATTTGCAAAATACATTACCTGGCTATGTACAAGGAACTCATAAAACTCAACAATAAAAAAGAAAAAGAAGAACACTTATGTCTAGGTCTTTATTTTGTTTTGAGTTGATTTTTATACATGGTATAAGGATCCAGTTTTCTTCTTTTATATGTTTATATCTAGTTTTTCCAAAACTATTTATTTAAGAGACTATTCTTTCCCCATTGTGTCTTTTCGCTGGTCTTCTTGTTTGACCATATATCCTTGGATTGATTTCTGGTCGATTTTATTCTATCATATATGTGTTGGTTTTTCTGCTGGTGCCATACTGTTTTAATTACTAGAGCTTTGTAATACATTTTGAGATCAGGAAGTGTGATGGCTCCAATTTTATTTTTTCTCTGAAAGTTGTTTTGACTACTGGAAGTCTTTTGTTTCCATTTGAATTTCAGAATTTTTTTTCTATTTCTGTGAAAAATTTCATTGGAGTTTTGGTACAGATTGTGTTAAATCTGTATATCACATTGGATTGCATGGACATTTTAAGAATAATAATTCTTCATATCTACAAACAAGAATTATATTTTTATTTGTTTATTTTTCAATTTCTTTTATTAATGTCTTAAAGTTTTCAATAGACAAATCCTTTATCTCCTTAGTAAAATTTATCCCAAGTAGTTTATTCTTTTGAATACTAACATAAGTGGAATAATTTTCTTTCTTTTTTCCCAATAGATGATTATCAGTGTGCTATTTTACTGAATTCACCCACTAATTCTAACTAATTGTTTGTGTGAGGGTACTCTTTAGGGGTTTTCCAATTTAGGATGGTATCATCTGCAAACAGAGATAATTTTACTTCTTTCTTTCTGATTTGGATATCTTTTATTTCCTTTTCTTGTCTGATTATTATTTTCAGTAGTATTAGTATGTAATTTTTATCTTGTAAGAATGTTGAAGATTGTCAATTGCTTTTTTGCATCTTTTGAGGTAATTATGTAATTTTTATCATTTATTCTATTAATGTGATATATCATGTTGATTTGCATATGTTAAACCAATCTTTCATCTCAGAAATCAGTCTCATTTAGTCATGGCATGTACGTTTTTAATGTGTTGTTGAATTTAGTTTGCTAGTATTTTATTGAAGGTTTAGCATCAATGTTTTATCACAGGTATTAGCTTGGAGTTTTCTTTCCTTATGGCATCATTGTCTGGCTTTGGTAACAGGGTGATGCTCGCTTAATAAAATGAGTTTGAGAGTATTCTTTCTACTTGTATTTTTGAAATAGCTACTATAAAACTTCTAGAAATAAACACAGGTTAAAAATTTCTCTATTTTGACCTTCACAAGATTTTATTGCTTATCATACCAATAGCTCAGACAACAAAAGCAAAACTAAACTAAAGTGGGACTATCTCAAACTGTTATAATTTTGCACAGAAAAGAAAGCAATCGACAATTGAAAAAAAGAAAAATCTCTATGGTATAAGATAATATATTTGTGAACCATATATCTGATAAGAGGTTAATAAGAAAAAGTAACTTACACAACTTACACAATAAACAGAAACAACACAATTTTAAAATGAGCAAAGGACTTAAATAGACTTTTTTTCTGAAGATAGCATAAAAATAGCTAACAGCTATATAAAAAGTTTCTTAACTTCCTTAATCATCAAAGAAATGAAAATAAAAACCACAATGTGTTGATTACATCACATCTGTTAGAATGGTTATTATCCCCCCTCCAAAAAAGGTAAGTGGTGGAAAGAATGTATAGAAAAAAGAATGCTTGTACATTGTTGGTGGGGCTGTACATTGGTATAGCCATTATGAAAAATAGCAATGAGGTTCTTCAAAAATTAGATAGAATTCCCAAATATCTAGTAATACCTCTGCTGAGTGTATACTCAAAAGAAATGAAATCAGCACCTCTAGAGCTATTTAAAATTCCATGTTAATTAAAGCAGTATTCACAATAGCCAAGATATGCAAACAATCTAAGTGTTCTAAGATGGATGAACAAATAAACTGTGAGAAATGTAGATATATTCTCTCTAAATAAAATAGATACATTTTCTCTTTGTATATAGAACATATATAAAGACAGAGAGAGAGAGAGAGAGAGAGAGAGAGAGAGAGAGATGCATGCACCATAATTTCTTTACATATTTTCTCTATGCATAAGTCCCTTTGTATTCACAGTTTTGTTCTCCAGTTTCAGTTACCTTCAGTCAACTGTGGTCCAAAAACATTAAATAAAAAATTATGTAAATAAATGTCTCATAGGTTTTATAATTTGCATCTGTCTGAGTAGCATGATGAAATCTCACACTGTCTTATTTTTGTCCCACCCAGGACATGAATCATTCCTTTCACCAGAATATTCGCACTAAAGATGCTATCTGCCAGTTACTGTATAGAGAAAAACATGGTGATAGGGTGGGGTCTATCCAAGTTTTAATGCATTTTCTGGGTGTTTTGGAACATATCTCCCATTAGTA